TGGATGGGTGGATGGGTGGGTGGATGGATGAATGGATGGGTGGGTGGATGGATGAATGGGAGGATGGGTGGTTAGACAAATTCATTTATACTGATGAACTTGCTGAAAGAAATGCATCATTGCTGATCTTCCAGATTTTATAGCACTGTTAACTCTTCCCCTTTGGTGTAGTAATAAAAATGAGCACTAGGTGGCATCAGACTACAGAAGGTCCTCACCTCAGAGAAACACCCACCATGGTCTCATTTTGTCTAATCTAAGTCAAGCAAGTCTTTCTAATTTCTCCTTATAGCATTTATTTATTCAGTGCCTACCTCATGCCCAGCCTTATGCTGTGCCCTGTGGAGAATATAAAGGACTTGGAAAAAAGATCTCAAAGGAACAGAAGAAGCAGCATAACTTGCCTGCCTCCCCTCCCCAACAAGAATTTTAGAACAGCCCAAAGCAGAGTGTGAACCTGAAAGAATTTCGAGACATAGTGTTCTGTGTAATCTGCCTCTTGACCTGGAGTCTTCTCCCACCCTTCACTCCTTGCCACAGTGACCTCTGTCATTCCTCTCATGTGTCATACCCCGTCCCCCTTCATGGAATTCACTAATGCTCGTCTCTGGGATACTCAGCTCTCTCACTTCACCTGGCAGACTCCCTTCATATCTCACTTCCTCAGGAAGATGTTTCCAGACCAGACTCCCAACACCACACTGCCCTTTCAAGTGACCTAGATTCCACTTCTTGGATGATCCCATAGGGGTGATTATGTATTTGTGTAAATGGTCGTTTATTAATCTCTTCTTTACCAAGCTGACAGTAGAGGACAAAGATCACATGTGTCTTGTCCGGTCCTGGTGTTTGGGGCTGAGCAATGTTGCCATTAGAATCAAATGTTGAGATCTTAAACCCCACCCCCATACCTTAAAACCTCTTTAGAGACATAGACTTTAAAGATGTGGGTCAGTTAAGAGGACACCATCGGGTTGGGCCCTAACCCAGTTTGCCTTTTGTCCTTATAGAACGAGGAAATTCAGACACATAAAGAGACACCGGGGAAATCTGAACACAAAGAAAACCCAGCAAGAAGGAGTTATCTAGAAGCCAAGCAGGGCGGTCATAGGGGAAGCCAAACACTGACACTTTGATCTGGATGTGTAGCCACCAAAA